GCATCAGAAATAATCAGAAACAATATTAGTAAAGCAAGAATGGCAATCTATCTATGCCCCTTTTTTAAAAAAATTTTATTTTGAAACAGGTTGCCTCTAAATTGCCATGGCTGGCTCAAACTTATGATTCTGCCTTGGTATCTTTAGTAGCTGGGATTACAGGTGTGCAACAGCATGGATGGCTTAAACTTTCTTTGTTTAACAGTATTGTTTTAACCACAACATTGTGTTCCATTAAGTTTGCTTGTGTACTAGATTCACAATGTTTTGTCTCATGTGAAATGAGCTTTAAAAAATTTTATTTAGATTCTGTGTAATGAATGAAAAGACTCAGATCATCTACTTGAAACATCTGAAGCTGGTATAAAATTGGCATTAAGCTTTGTAAAATTTTTGTTCTGATGTTGTATTTGATATATCCTTTTTTTAATATAATGACATAAAAATTCAGGAAGGAAACATAGACACCAGGTGTGGTTGATACGAGCCTGAAATCTCTGCATTTTGGAAGGCTAAGAAAGATTGGAAATTGGACATTTTATCAAATTAAGGAAATCGTATTTCAAAAAATAAAATAGGATGAAGAGGTCACTGTGTGAAAGCGCTGGGTTCATTCTGCAGTATTGCAAAAGGGAAGGGAGAGTATCTAGAACTGCAATGTTAAGTCACACACACTGTAATCTCTGCAAGTTTGAGGCCAGCTTGGGCTACATGGTGAGTTAAAGACCAGCCTGAGCTCAAGATCCCATCCCAAAAAACAACTGCAGCCTAGTGTGGTGACACATGGCTTACAATCAACACTCAAGAGGCTGAGGCCTGAGGATCCTAGCTAATTAAAGAGACCAACCTGGGCTACAAAGTGAGCTCAAGGCCATCAATGAACTACTAATGAGACCCTGTCTTAAAAAGATGAAAAACAGGGGGCTGGGGATTTAGCTCAGCGGCGTAAGCCCCTGCCTTGCAAGCAGGCAGTCGTGAGTTCAGTCCCTGGTACCGATAAAAACGAAAAAGACCAAAAAACAAACAAACAAAACCCCTGCAGTATTACCAAGTAATGAAAATAGTTGTCTTATGCAAAAGCTTGGCTTTTTGAGGTACCTTATCCCCCTTTTCTTGTTCACGTACAACTCTGTTGGCTCTCTGTCCAGAGTCACCTACCACAGCACACCTGATAGGAACATGTCAACCAAAACAGCGTTGTTATTGTCGGTCTTCATCTTTGCTTTCTGTTGTTAAAACTCACTCGTGTGTTAATTATAGGTGAGGCCAGAGGTTAGAAACCCTAGAAAGTGCAGGTCTCCTGACTACATCTCAGCTAATTCTACATTGCTGAAAAACCTGGAACAAAAAATGAGGAAGAAGGTGTGCCAGGGCACTAGAGGAAGTCTGGCTTTCCATCAGTCACTTAGGAAACCCTTTAAGTTCTCTAAAACCTCAATTTGGATCTTTTTTTTTTTCCTTGTTGATTACTTAAACATCTTCCTGCTAACTTGAACCTCTGGTGTAGTACTACATGTCTAACTGTCCTCCCATCTGGTGGCTTGTACCATTGGTAGTGGATCTAATGACTTTTATCAGCCTTTTTACTAGACTAGTAAACTTAATATAAGTATAAATGGGCTGAACCTAGTTAGTTGCTTGAATTTCAGTAATTATTGCCCAGATGTAAATATGAGTACTATTTACCTATTTAAAATACTATAGTAATCAACCAATATACTTCATTAAATAAAATTTATAATTTATCTGTAATTTTTAAAATTTTAACATGGAAATCTTACACATTACCTCATTGCTGATATGTACAATATAGTATTAATAAATGCTGTATTATGGATTATCTAACAAATTTCTGTGCCATTGTAATGCTTTCCTTGAAGGAACTATACTGTGATGACATCTCATCCACTAAATGCCTTTCTTTGTATTGTAATCTGATATCCCAAGTAGCAATGCAGGCTGCCTGATGGGACAGTCATGCGTGTACCATCGGCTTCAAGCTGGTAAGAACAGTTGGATTCAAGTTGGAGCTACTTGGCAGTGTGAAATAAATTATGGCTCTGTCATGGGAATCAGTAAATTTAAAAGCTCTATACTTAAATTTTTAATAAAAATTGACTTTGCACTAATAAAAGCATTTAATTTGCTACACTGAAGGCTAGTAATCTCTTGGTTCTTTATAGCAAATGCATGAGATTTGGATAAGCACATGGCTAGATGAAATGTTTTCTGCAGACAGAACTAATTATACAGTAGTATAAAGAAGAGATGCCTGGATTTCTAGAGTTAGCAAAAGCGTATTATAGGTGTTTCTGAATAGTTACTCTTCTGTGGTAGTTATACACAAACTTGCTTATTTCCTGTATTCAGTGATACAAGATCATACATTTTCCACAAAGTAGTTACTGTAGAATTTAAATTTTTTTTCTTTGTACTCTCCAGGGCAGGGGAGCTTATTCTGAATATTCTTCTATTCATATATTTTAACTTTGCAATGAGAAATAAAGACCATACCAGTAATTTAAAGAAAAATCTAACCAGGTATGGTTGGCACATGCCTGTAATCCCAGCAGTCAAGAGGCTGAGGCAGGAGGATCTTTGAGAATTTGAAGCCAGCCTGAACTGCATAGCAAAACCGTATCTCAAAAAAAAAAAAAAAAAAAAAAAATCCGGGGCTGGGGATTTAGCTCAGCGACATAAGCGCCTGCTTTGCAAGCAGACAGTCATGAGTTTAGATCCCCGGTACCGATTTAAAAAAAAAAAAAAAAAAATCCATGTAGTTGTATTTCTGTCCTTAACGATGAATGGATTATTGGAAGAGAATTTAAAAAGTGACTCCTGGGTTTGAATATATTTTGGGGGGAATTTAACTTGTTTGAAAATGTTCGATGCAGTAGTGCATCAACATTAGTTTGGCTTACCATTTTGGTCTGTGTTTTTGGTACTGGGTCTGGAAGCCCCAGGCTTTAGACCACTCTCTCTACAGTCCCATATGTTTTTAAATTTTATTTTGAGATGGAATTTCGCTGGCTTGCCAACGGTGGTCTGGTATTTGTGATTAAAGAATTATAGACGTGTTTATTTTTTAAATTTTTGGTGCTGGGAATCAAACTCTCGTGACTTGAACTGGCTGGGCAGGCACAGTGCCACTGAACTGTATCCTTGGCCCCTATGTTTTTTTATTTTTGATGATTGAGACATTGGTTATATTCTTTGTAAGGTGGCTCCCATTTTAAATTAAGAAGAAAGCCTAATAAGGAGACAACTTAAAAGTGCCTTCTTTTTGTGCGTACAGGTATTTGGGGTTAATTAGTTCATAATGAATTGCAGAAATTTCATGTTTTGCTAAGAACAAATATTTTTCTGTGTTGAAAAATAAATTCTCCCGAAGTTAGAATTTTGAGAATAGTTACAATTGCTGTTACATAAAAGACAAAGTTAATTGAAATAGTAAGATTGAGTAGCCACATGCGGTGGCTCACACCTGTAATCCTAGCACTCAGGAGGCTGAGGCAAGGAGGATCATTGAGGGTTCCAGACCAGCCTGGGCTACAAAGCTAAAGGCCAGCCTGAACTGCATAATGAGACCCTCTTTCAAAACAAAAAAAGTTGGGGTGGGGGGATTGACTATGAAAGGGCACTTAGTCCTATGAGAGGTTTTTATCATGGAAAATGGGATCTGTAAACGGTTAGAAGTGTGGTTCAGGACGAACAAAAGCTGGGGATTTAGCTCAGCGGCCTAAGCACCTGCCTTGCAAGCAGGTGGTCGAGAGTTTGATCCCTGGTACCGATAAAAATGAAAAAAAAAATGCCTTGGTGGTGGTCTGGAAGGTTAGCAGGTGACAGACACCCTGCACTCTTTTTGTTTGAAGTTCTCAAGTTGTGAGCCTCAGTGCTCTGCATCAGAATTTCGTGTTATTGAGGTGTGATCACCGGACAATGCTTCCTACTTTATTCCAGTGACTGAATGTAGGGTTACTTAGGTTTTGTCTTTTCTAGTGGAATATATTTTGAGTCATGACTGTATGTCCTTTAAAGGATGGGATAGAAGTAAATGGAAAGTATTGACCCAACTTTTTTTTTTTTTTTTTGGTCTTTTTCCTTTTTATCGGCAACAGGGATCGAAACTCATGACTGCCTGCTTGCAAGGCAGGCGCTTATGCTGCTGAGCTAAATCCCCAGCCCCGACCCAACTTTTTTTTTTTAAAGATTCAGTTTATTGTTTTCTATCTTGATGGCTTAGATTTTGTTGGGTGCTGATGCTCCATCTACGGAGGACAATGTCTGGCGTGTACTGGCCAGCATTTAGTATTTGCTGAAGGAACAAGGGCCAGGTGAAGTATTGTATGGAATGTGCTTAGTCTACCAGACAGGACTCAGGCTCGCACATTCTATTGTCTCTGCTTAGTTCTGTGCGTATGTCTTCTGCTCACTAATTTGCTTTCCCTGAGAAAGGGATGTTCTGAATATTTCTCTCTGCAAATTAATGACTGCTCACTGGTTCATAGTCACTCAGGGATTACCCCAGCTGACTCAAATTGGTGTGCATGGTACAGATTGCCCCTATTGGTGAGGGCAGCATATGTCAGTGTGTGGTTGTGTCAAGGTGCTGAGCCATTGTATCAGGAAATAGGATTTTTTTCCCACCATGTCTTTGTATATATGTGTGTATATGTAATTTGCACATGTGAATATATTGGTCATATAGATGAGTGTTTCATTTTGGCAAATGTGTTCATGGATTTAACATGCTTTAAGTCATTGTCACCTCCAGTACCCCTTGCTTTCTACTCTGATGATTTACTTGCTTGGTCTTTTTGAAAACAGTGTCTTACATATTCTAGACAGGCCTTGCTTGAACTTGAGGTTCTCTTGCCTCTGTCTCCTGAGTGTTGGTATTTCAGGCATGCAGCACCATGCCTCCCTTATTTGACTGTATTTATTTGCTTGTGTTAAATTACATTATATTACATGACCCATTGTTTTCTTTCTTGGTGTAGGAACTTAGTGATTTGGCCCGTGACCCTCCAGCACAATGTTCTGCAGGCCCAGTTGGGGATGATAGTAAGTAACTTCTAAATTGATTTCTATAGCTAACTTGAAAGTTTTGAGATACTAAGACGATAATATTTTTTCTTTTTACAGTGTTTCATTGGCAAGCCACAATTATGGGACCTGTAAGTATTAAGAATTTAAAAATTTTGCTTGCAATTGAAAAATCCAGTATTGATCTGATTGTGATTTTTAACTTGGTCTAGGTTTCTTATATAGTTACCTTGTTTTGATTATGCCATAATTGTATTGCATTTGAAAGAAAAATTAGGAATTATCTCCCCCCGCCCCCATAGTGGTGTGGAGCACAGTGCCATGGCCACCAAGTCCCTGTTTGCCACAGTCCAGTTTTTCTTCGTAGCAATGAGAAACCTCTTGTCACTGAGTAGCTTCTTGCTTAAAATTTACTGGCCTCTACTTCTATCATGAGTTGTAAAGGTAATAGTCTATTTGTGTTAATTTGATACTCTATTTTGTATATAACATAGTGTTTTTTGTTTTGTTTTGTTTTTTTCTCTTTTTCATTTTTATTAGTACCAGGGATCGAACTCACAACCTGCCTGCTTGCAAGGCAGGTGCTTATGCCGCTGAGCTAAATCCCCAGCCTAACATACAGTTTTATACAATTTAAATGCAGGCAAAATGATATTTTGAATGTAGCAAAATTTTATTTCTGTTGTGGGTAGATAAGCAGGGAGATTGAATATTTGGAATTCTGGATACCATCTAAGAATTTTAAGAGAGTTAGAGGGCATCAAAAAAATATCATGGGCAAGACTACCTTACATAAATAACTTTTAACTTTTTTTTTTTTTTTAACTTAGGGAACTTCTATTTAATACATGCATATTTTACCAGAAGCTCTGTGCATTTCCTCCTTTTTACTTACAGTAACAGTGTACCAGGTGGGAAAGTAAGTGGTCATTAAAGGAGAATGTGCCTTTGGAAGAGTTGCCTTATTGCATTGGATCAATAAGTATCTATTGAGCAGTTCTGACTTGAACACCTTAGTTACTTCTTTTTGTTTTTGTTTTTGCACTACCACACCTACCTCATGTCCCTGTCTTAATACTGCTATATATGCACAATACTGCTATATAAAGACACAAATGAACATAATAGAGAAGATCCCTGCCAATCCTTCAGGAAATTAAAGGCTAGGAAGATAAAGAGCATAAAGACAAGTGTTTAAAGTATAAGATGGCTAATAGGAATAATGTTAAGGAGCTGGGTGGAAGAAATTTACCATGAATTTAAGTTTGTTGAGGCACTGTATTTACTGTTTTAGATTTTATTTTAAACACGTTTATCTAAATCAGTATTTATATTTATTAATACGCCTTTTAAGTATTGCCCCACTTGACCTACAGGATATTTTAAAGTTTAGCAGTCTTTGAATAAAAACTGAGTCTTTATTCCATAAGCAACAGTGACTTGAGATACATTAATAGCTGCCTTCCCTTTTGAGGTGGTGTCTACCTCTTGGCATAGTCCTTACCTGGTTCGCTTTTACTTTTGTACCTAAATTTTCTTTACTTTTCTTTCTTTCTTTCTTGAACTCAAGACCTTGCACTTGCCAGGCAGGTATTTGTGCCACTGAGCTAAACCCCTGGCTCCATACCTAAATTTGTTAGTAGTTCCTTTTGGTGTACTGTTCGTTTAGTACCGGGGACTGAACTGTCTTGACTTCACACTTGCCAGATGGGCACTTAAGCCACTGAGCTAAATCCCTGGCACGGCAGTTCCTTTTGTAACCTAGAATTTTCCATTATAGATTACCATTTATACCATTATGCACATTTATACCATTACCCATTTTCCGATAGAGAATTCGGTTAAAAAAAAAAAGTAGTTTGCCCAGATACAGTGGATTCCAAGGGTACTTTAGGGTGGTCTCATTATCAGAGTTACTTGTCAGTATTGACATGGTATTCAAGGGTTGGTAATCAAGACTTTTTCTTGGGTAGTATACGTTTATTAATTTTTCCTTTTTGCTGCAATATTGTAGTGTAACATAACAGCCCTTAGGGAAAGGGTTTTTGTTTTGTTGTTAATGCAAGTGAAGTTAGATTTTCATCAGTGGGCTAATGAATTGTCTTTATTCAGAAGCAGTCAGACATGCCCCTTGATTGTGTAAAACTGAAACAAAAGCCTGTACAAACTTCTGGAATTGGATTTTTTAAATGGAAATGTTTCTGAGCCAAGGGTTTAACTCTGTGGCTTAAGTGCCTGCCCTGGCAAGCCCAGGGTCATGGGTTTGATTTCCAGTATCCAAACACCTTTGTTTTTATTCTGTATATAATTGATACCTTTTATATTTGTTTATATTAAAATACAGGCTATAGAAGACATTTTTTTCCAGTATATGCCAATGTGTGGTTATAGTGTTTAACAAAAATGTGCTTATCTAATAAAGGCAGATAACAATCTGGGTGCCTTGGTTTGTTTTCTCTCCTCTACAGTTCTCATGTGCTGCTTTGTAGTGTTAAATATTTTTTTTACATGTAAAGTTCATAGGGCTCAATTTTATAGATGCTCTTCCTTCTCATTGTTTCTTTGAACCTGAATCTTTATCCAGTAAATAAATTTTCTTTGAATTCCAGGTGTTTCTTTTCAGTTTTCTTACGTCTGTAATATTTCATTGCAATCACTTTTTAGGTCTTTGTACTAGAGTTTAAACTCATCAAGATAAAAACTTTTCTGGGATTATTTTACAGAGGGATGAAAATTAATGAGCCCCATTAAACATGTCTTAAAGTTGGCTTTTGAAATTCGGAGGCAGATAGAGGCAATTTTGTATCCTATAGTAGGTCACTGTCTTAACACTTTATAATATAATATAGTGTTGTCGTTAAGTGGCCTTCGGAAGACTTGTGTTTGGATGTTGGCTCTGTCATTTACTATTTATACCCTGTTCTTAAGCTTTCAGCCCCATTTCATTCATCCATAAAATAGAATGACGTGTCTCCTGTATTTGGTAAAATAAAGAATTCACAGCAAGACTCTCAAGTGTTAGCTTGGTACTAACATTTGTAAAATATTTTTTGAGGTCGTAGTTCATTCAGATTGTAATGAGCAAACTAAATTAGCAAAGGAGAAAAAGTACTGTGTAATGTGATTTATTTTCTTTCCATTTCTTGTATTTTGTATTACTAGGAGTTGAACTCAGAGCTTAGCACTGAGCTATATCTACAAATTCTATGTCCTGTCTCTTCCCTACCCCAGTCTTGCTAAGTTCCCTAGGCTAGGCTCATACTAGGAATCATTATGCCTTAGCCTCCTAGGGTGTTGGATAAGGTAAGCTGCACCATTATGTCTGCCTTGAGAACTTGGATTTTCTGTTCTTGATCTCTTGGCTTGCTGAGAGTTCAGTTAGGCTTCTGTGAGAAAAAATTTCATGGTTTTAGATGAGAATTTTGAGAAGAAGCCAATTGAATAAACTTTCTTAGAAGACCCATTTCTATTGTGACATTCCTGAAGGCAGTTTGTCTTGTGGATTAGCTAATATTTTGGTTTATAGAACATGGTAGTGGATAAATGATCCATTGAGTTGCAAAGCTATAATTGTGTAGGGCAGGAGATATTAGCTCAGTAGCACAGTTCCTGCCTGGCAAACATGAGGTTGTGAGTTCTGTCCCAGGTACAAAAAAAAAACAGTGACCGAAAAATATACTTGGTAAATTTTATTGCTGAGTGTATTTCTGATTTCTGGATAATTTTTTGCAAACCTCTGGCAAATTACAAAGTTGGATTTCATTATGGCTTATTATAGTAAACTTTAGTGGTCTTCCCACCACCACCACAAAGATGAAAATTTTCTTTGATTAACAGTCTTCATTATGGGCAGATAGGTAATTTTTGACTCATTAAATGTTTAGAAGATGGAAATGTTAAGACATTTACCAATGAACTTTCTTTAAGTAGTAAAGTTAAGTATAATTTTCTCTTCACAGAATGACAGCCCATATCAAGGCGGTGTATTCTTTTTGACAATTCATTTTCCTACAGACTACCCCTTCAAACCACCTAAGGCAAGTATTTTCCTTCCCAGTCTGTTAATATAGATTTACTGTTTCAGTGGAATAAAACATTCTGTACATTTAGGATTTGGGGAGGCTGTTTGTGTATATGTATTAAGAATAATTAAAGGTAGAATATATCTATATGTAGATATGCACACACAACTAGTCTTCAAAGTGCCAGACAGTCTTGCCAAGTTAACAAACTGGAGGGATTTCCTTCTCTTTAAATGTTGCACTGCTTAAATAGTACCTGTGGAAACCTTTGTTAGTCACACACAGATTGGGATTAATTATAGCTATCAGATTTCAGCTGCAAGGGTTGCTTAATATTCTGAAGTGACTACTTTTATAGGTATTGGAAACATGTGGCCCTTCACTTTTTATAACCATAAAATTCAGCATGTGCATAACCACAATATAATAGTGTAGTAAGACATTGTGATACTCATTGTAACAGTTACGTTACAGGTGCTTTGCCACACTGACATTGAACAGAATACCTTTGTAATACTCAAGTTTAATTTTCCTCCTCAAGGCAGGGTGTGACGTGTGATGTAACACATAGTTTAGGTTGGTCTTGAACTCACTGTGTGGCCCATGGTGGCCTCATGTCTCAACCTCTCCCGAGTGCTGTGATTATAAGCGTGTACTATCTCACCTGGCTAATGATGACTTATTTTAAGCTTTGCTTTAAAGTCTTATCAAATGTACAATGCTTGTTTTTATTTGAATAAAATACTGAAAAGGCTTTTTTAAATTTTACTGTAGGTTGCATTTACAACAAGAATTTATCATCCAAATATTAACAGTAATGGCAGCATTTGTCTCGATATTCTAAGATCACAGTGGTCTCCTGCTTTAACTATTTCTAAAGGTAAAGTACCTTCACTGGAGTAGTCTTGATGCTTTGATATTTTTTTTCTCTTATTGTGTTAACATTTTGATAAAGAAATAGGGGAAGAAGTAAGTTACTCAATTTAGTTACTTCTTACTCTACTAGCAATATTGGTTGAAACTTGAAGTTAACATTCAAGTTAGCAATGAAAGAAAGCATTATTTGCCTCATAAGTTCCCATCATCATATAAGAGTAAAATTTATTTTAATGGAGCTTGTATTTTTCAATCCTAAACCACTTACTTGCACATTTTCTCTTTTTTTAAAACAAGAAAGGTATACTTCCAGACTTGATTTCATAGAACTTCTAAATCTGAGGTTTCCATTCTTGGTTATTTTTTTATGGTCTTTTTGAGACAGGATTTCACTTGCAGTTCAGGCTGTCCTTGAGCTTACTTTGTAGCCCCAGCTGGTCTCCAACTCTCAATGATCCTCTTGCCTCAGCCTTCTGAGTGCTGGGATTATAGGCATGCGCCACCACACCTGGCTACTCTTGGAAAATTCTGGTTCTGCTTTTAGTACTTTTGAGCCAGGGTCTCGCTGTGTAGCTTAGCTTGATCTTGAATTCACTGTGTAGCCCAGGCTGGCCTCAAACATGCTGTGATCCTCCTGCCTCTGCCTCCCAAGTGCTGGAATTATAGATGTATAGCACCACACCTGGTTTTGAGATCAGGTTAAACTAAGTTGCTCAGACTATCTTTGAACTTTGAATCCCTCTGCCTCAGCCTCCTAAATGTCTTGTGTTGCAAGCATGTATGTTACCTTGCCAGGCTAGACTTAGGTTTGACTCTTGAAGATATTTAAGGATAGACCTCTAAGCATTTTGTTTTTAAGCTCAGTGCTCACATGCAACATTTCCAAACCTGTGTTTTGGAATAATTTTACCAAAAGTTGACTTATGAGTTTGTAAATGTAGAGTAAACATGACATGTATTGCTTTCTCAACATTTCTCAAGCTTTCCTTTTAACTAGTATCACTTTTGAAGGAAAAAACTAAAGTGCATTAGTACTGCCATGACTTTTAGCAGACCAGTTTTCTTTGAATTGTAATTTTTTCCAGTCATGCCCCTATGCACAAGTGCCAGGTAGCAAGGATTTAGTATTCTGGGGAATGGACCGTAGTACTGAAAAGTTTCTGTAAATACAAGTGAAATTATGATGTTTTGTTTTTAAAGTAATTTTGCTTTGTGGCAGTTACATTTTGTAAACTTAATAGCAAGCTCAACTAAAGTTTTTGCCTTTTTCCAGAGTTTCTGTGTTACCAGTTTAATTTTTCTTTAGTTCTTAAACATATATAATTTAATAACTTCTTAAAAGGAACTCTTAAGTTTCTCTCTCCCAATGCTTTTAAATTTAAAATATTCAGCTTCTGCAGTAGTACCTGAGGTCTTTTGTAACACCTGCGCAGCGAGTGGCACATCACAGATACCCAAGATGAATGAGCTGGCACCTTCTCTGTTGGTGTATTGAATAGACCAGAATAACAGCTAAAGGTGTGAGGCTCACTTACTGCTTGGGAGAGCTTAGCAGTGTTTCAGTTCACTGAGATTCTTGGGAATATGGTCTCGACCTTACAGATTCAAAGAGACATTTTGTAGAACCTATCCATGGGAGAAGAGCAAGGAGTAGATTTTTATCTTGCCTCAGAGCTGAGAGTTGTGTTGCATTTAACTATGTGTTTAGTAGTTAGTACTGACTTTGATGCCAGCAAAGGTATTTTTAGCACTTCTTACTTAGGAGATTGTCTTTTGTGGAGCAAGATCTTTAAAATACTTCATTGAGATTAAGATACAAATTTTTTTTGAGGATTATAGTTTATAACATAAATTTTTAAGTTCTCTTGACCCTTATTTATCTAAACCCCTGATGCTTGACATTTTGTTCCCTTGCAGTTCTTTTATCCATTTGTTCACTGCTATGTGATCCAAACCCAGATGACCCCTTAGTGCCAGAGATTGCACGGATCTATAAAACAGACAGAGACAAGTAAGTATACAGTACTCCAGATAGTACTATCTGGAGTTAGGCTTCTCTTTTGCTGTAGTTTATGGCAGTACCGGGGAGACTATATTCTTGTGTCTGGTAAAATACTTTTAATTGTGCAGAAAGTTGTTTTTAAAAGTAATTGACTTTTATATGACAGTGAATAGCCCCTGAAAAATGGTGGTTTTCTTCAAATATGATGAAAACTTAGTCATTTTATTCTCATAAAATTTGGGGAGAAGAAAAAGCACTTTTTCTTCACCTCAAATACATTTTTCTAAAAATTTGATTACTGTAAAAACTTGGCTCTAAATTACTCAAATATGTGAATTACCTTTACATTCAGCTTAAGCATTGTAACTACTACCATACGTTGTGATTAATGTTGTTGTCCAATCAGGTACAATAGGTTAGCAAGAGAGTGGACAGACAAATACGCTATGTTGTAGGGTAAGAGGATCGTGGTGCCGCGCTCGCTCATGGTGCTGCCAGCACTTGGGTGCCGCATGCTCTCAGGCACTGCGTTAACTAACACAGGTAACAGACTGGGCAGTTTCTGAAAACTACTTGTAACCGCTTGATCTGCTGAGCGTGAGAGTATGACCGATAGTCACTACTGCTTGAAAGTATTCCTGCATGGCAAAGCAGTTACATAGCACCAGTAAAAGGTAAACAGTTTAAGAGCATCTTTATCAAAACTACCTTGCTGTTCACATTTTAACTCTTAACTTTGTTCCACTACTATAATGGAATGCGATGGATTTTTGTGTTTCAAATTTTGCCAACAGGTAATAGCATTGTAAAGGAAAAAAACACTTCAACCCAAGCATCTAAATTGTTTGTTACTCACAAGCATGCATTAGTGTCAGGTATATTTTATAGCTCCCTGTGTGCTATTTAAAGCCTTTTGTTTTAAAATGCTAGCTTTTTGAAGAGGACATTTTTAAACGATACAACTATAAATAGGTAGAAAGAACTTCTAAATGTAAAGTTTAGAAAGATAATTCAGTCATACTTAGTTCTTGTTTTGAAATACAGCTAGTAATGTTTCTAAAGATTTAAGTCTAAAAGCTCTAGGTCCTGTATATTCATTTAAGTTTATGACTTTTTCTCAGGGTAAGTAATGGCAAGAAAGTAATTCTGAGAGAAATGGGGAATGCTTACCACTATTAGTTGTCTTGCTCAGTGAAGACCTAGCTCATGAGTGAGCCATCCATTGATCTTTGTGAGCAGAGATGACTTGGTTACACTGCTAGCAATTCCTGTCCATCAGGTTGGCATGGGTCTTAGCACCATACCGCAATTTTTAAAAGTGATACGTGGTTCCTTTTTGGGCACAAGGCCTTACTCTGCAGCCCAGGCTGCCCTTGAACTTGTGATTCTCTTGCTTCAGCCTCCTGAGTTCTGGGATTACAGGCTTGTGTCATCTCACGCAGTGGTCCTGATCACCATAACTCTTGTCCACCCCTTCTCAAAAGTCACTAGTCTTTATTAACCCTTCCCAGTGTCTCACTCTTCTAGGTCTCAAAGGCATTTTCTCTTACAGTGTACCCAGAGCCAAGTAACTTCTCCAAAGTCTAGGATTCCAACCCAGTTTGCTTATACCTTTGGTGGAATTTATGTTGGTATTTACTATTCTCACAGATACCCAGATACCTGTGATGTACTCTTAAAAAACACTTTAAGAGCAGTTAGTCTCATTTTTCTCATCCTGCTTCGAGCACCAGCTGGCTTGCTCATTGCTGACTGTTCTCCAGTTATAGCCACTGCAGATGACTTCATGATGATTCTGTAGGTAAAATACAGATCTGCTCCTGCTCTGGAAAATGTTGGTAAATTCTTTGTTTTAAAAAAAATTTTTTTTTCCATTTATAGGTACAACAGAATATCTCGAGAATGGACTCAGAAGTATGCCATGTGATGCTACCTTAAAATCAGAATAACCTGCATTATAGCTGGAATAAACTTTAAATTACTGTTCCTTTTTTGATTTTCTTATCCGGCTGCTCCCCTATCAGACCTCATCTTTTTTAATTTTATTTTTTGTTTACCTCCCTCCATTCATTCACATGCTCATCTGAGAAGACTTAAGTTCTTCCAGCTTTGGACAATAACTGCTTTTAGAAACTGTAAAGTAGTTACAAGAGAACAGTTGCCCAAGATTCAGAATTTTTTTAAAAAATGGAGCATGTGTATTATGTGGCCAATGTCTTCACTCTAACTTGGTTATGAGACTAAACCATTCCTCACAGCTCTAACTGCTGAAGAAGCCATCTGAGGGGGGGAGATGGATGCTCGGTTGTCACGGCAAGGAAGCAACATTATTCTAGCAGCATCCATTCTTGTTAACCTTCCATTGTTAGAGATCTGAGGTTACGTGATATACTTTATGCTCATAACTGATGTGGCTGGAGAATTGGTATTGAATTATAGCATCAGCAGAACAGAAAATGTGATGTATTTTATGCATGTCAATAAAGGAATGACCTGTTCTTGTTCTACAGAGAATGGAAATTGGAACTCAGAACACCCTTTGTATTCCAAAATAGGGTCTCAAAACATTTTGTAATTTTCATTTAAATTGTTAGGAGGCTTGGAGCTATTAGTTAATCTATCTTCCAATACACTGTTTAATATAGCACTGAGTAAATGATGCAAGTTGTCAATGGATGAGTGATCAACTAATAGCTCTGCTAGTAATTGATTTATTTTTCTTCAATAAAGTTGCATAAACCAATGAGTTAGCTGCCTGGATTAATCAGTATGGGAAACAATTTTTTGTAAAATGCAAAGCTGTTTTTTGTATATACTGTTGGGATTTGCTTCATTGTTTGACATCAGATAATGATGTAAAGTTCAAAAGAGTGACTATTTTGCCATGTTCAGTTAAAGTGTACAGTCTGTTACAGGTTGACCTGTCGCTTGACCTGACTTACGCAGAATAATAAGCTATTCAGATAGTGTAGCTTCAATGTGCTGCACATAGTGTACTGGTAGCCCTGGAGATGAGAGATGGACTTGGGGCCCAGCAGCTTTGAAATGTATGGAGTTGAAGAAATTTACTTTGCAGGTGCAACCCCCCCCCCATCTAATATGTCTTCAACTTGTACACTTGATACCTTAAGAAAACCACAACATGGGAGTAATAGTGGGTCAATTAATAAAGTACTGTTTTGGTGTGGGAGTTGTCATGAGGCTGTGTTGAAGTGATTAACTGGGATACTTGAGTATTCGTTGAAATGGATTCGTTCAGCCATTTACTTTGAGCATTTCAGTGCAGCAGATACCATTGCAGGTGACATCACATGAATAAAAATCATATACTATTAGATTCTTTTCTGTTTGACAAGTGCTATCTGTGCCACTGAACTTCTGTAGTACAAGGGCATTGCCATTCTCCCCCCTAATTCTGCTTTTTTCTAGTTAATTTGTTTTACTCATTGTTTTATTTCAAGTCCTATATGCAAAGTAGCAAATGTGATGCCTCCACTTCCACGTTTTTGCCCTGCTTACACTTTACATGCAGTCTTGTGTGCACACAGATGTGGAAAGCTAGAAATAAGTGTTAAATCTTAATTTTTACAAATATTTTAGTATGTAGTTTGGACATAATTTGTGGACTTAAGGTTCTTCACTAAACTGGAAGTGAAATGCATGCTTTCTGGCTTTGAAGCTATTCTGGCTTTGTTCATTCTGTAATAAGAGCTTCGTTGGAAAATTTCAGTCAGGATGAACTGGTTTCCAATGAGGGAAGCAACCATCTTTTGCTTTCAAAATTACGGATTCTTTAGATGTCATGCTGTCAAAGCAATTCAAATTATGAATGAAAAATTAGTAACTTAGTGCTCCACAAGGTAAGGAAATAACCGCTCTTTCACTATTTTCAAAATCTGCCCGAGACTCGTAGTTTGAGCTTTAGGCATGTTCTTGAAAACCAAACACGAAAACTTTTTCTATAAAGGGCCCATCCCTAGTTGGCTTTCTATTGAAGTTTGGTTTTTTTGCCTTAGAAGATATTCTAGGTGTTTATAGAGATGACTTCTTAGGCCATCGTGATCATAGTGTGTCCAGATGTGTCTGACTGGATGCTTTACGTATCTCCCATGTTGCTTCTAAGGGACTGGACCATAGAGGCTTCTCCAGGTATAAGAGAACAGTGTGACATACCTGGAAAACCCCACAGTTCTGAATGTATAGGCCCTGGACTTGGAATCCAATATAAAACCTTAAGTATCTTAAGGGTTTACCCTCAACCCACCCCACCAGTAATTGGATTTTATCTGTGCCATGTGTAGGACTGATGTGACTATTAGGTTAAGTATCGGTTTGGACTGTTGCTGTACCTTTTAATGTGCAGGCTCATTTTTTTTCCCCTCACCTATGAATACAGTTGACCTGTTGTAAATTACATTTTAAGTGACGGGCAGGTTTGCAATGTGATAATCAGATTTTTTTTTTAAGCAAGTTTGCTTTTTCTGTGGGTGTACTCACTTTTAAAAGTATGAACCACAGTAAACTAGTGGTCTCAGGGGTAGTGAAGCACTCACTTTTCATTTTTAAATATGAATGGCTTAGTATTACAATACTGATGATGCTGTGCTAGTGATGGGGGGGATGACTCAAATTAGCCATGTTTTGTGTTGACATAATTGTTAACTGATTGTTGATTACACTTTTAAGTGAATTTGTCTTATGAGGAACCCAGTGCAAGTCACCAAATGTTGTCTAATAGTGACATCTGCCTAAGACTTGTAATAGCTAAAGTTAATTGAGCTTAAAGGAATTGTTACATTAAAGTCTGTTTAAAGACACTTGGTCTTATCATTCCAGCAAAATGCACAATTGAAGTTGATACTGTGTGGGCTGTTCTGAATGTATAGTTCCTAAGGGCAGCAGTGGTCTCTGAAGGGTTAGTATGATGGGTTTCAAAGTGTCTCAGCCAGTGTCGTCGTTAGGGGAGGTCTTGTTCTGTGTAACTGAAGAGCCCTCTGTACACAAAATCAAGTGTTCCTTTGGGACAAACCAAAGCCAGTAACTCATGACTGCAATTGTGCTCTACTCATTGATGGTTACAGAGAATGTGTTTTGTATGCCTCATCAATTTTTGATACCCGACGTGCCATAGGTGATTGTTCTTGGAATAATTCGTTAAATAAGCTCTTCTGTTCTATGTAATTCAGCCAATGTTAAGGTATTAAAAGTAACCTATTTCGAAGGTCTGTCTATGTGCCTAGATAACGGCTGGAAAAGATTTGAGCCCAGATCTCTCTGAAGATACATTTGCAGTGTTTGAATTTAACATTAATATGCCCTAGCTGGGTATGGTAAGTCACACCTGTTACCTCAGCATTTGGGAGGCTGAGGCTGGCAGATCACTGCAAGTTCAGGACCAGCTTGCACTACAAAGTGAAACCATGTTTTAAACTAAATACAAACCAAAACCATTAAATGTGCCCTAATATTTTAAAACTTTGTACTTGTGCAAGGTAAGTGGTACAGGGTTTTAAATTTATGTTTTCCAAAAGACATTATAGTGGAATATTAAAGACTGAAAAGTTTCCTAAAGCCTGGAGGGAATGAAATTAGCTACATCCCCAATCCTACCCCCGTTTTAAGACCTAACTTTGCTGTGATGGAGAAAATGGTTATGTGAACCATTGATCCTGATTCTGTCCACCATTAACAAGTGTAAACATTGTCTGGTAAAAGTGCTTTCAGCCCCACTTAGTTAATGGCTCATTGCTGGCTTGCCACTTCACTGAGCATGGAGTGTCGTATTTGCTATACTTCTGTGTGTTCATAGGGCATTGTTAAAATGTCTAAAATTGGCCAGATTTCCACAGACAACCCCAGTGTAAGCAGTTTCCCTGCCACTAGGCCTAGACATATTGCATACTCGCAAATCATAAATTCTGCTTCAAAAATGTGTTCAGGGTCTGCCAGCTCGCCATTCTGACACCACCATGGTGTAAAGCACCACTGTCTTCCCAAGCGCTCTCTTTTGGCACGCAGCAATTTGTTGCACACAGAACACAGAGGTCCGGTTCAAATAGCATTGAAATACTTAGGAATGAGTTTAACCATGTAAAGCTTAACAGCAGATGTGGACATGGTCAGCCACCTTGTTTGACAGAGGCAAAATGTATCCACTGGAAGGAAGCCTCGTGATCCTGGAAACACTTTCACGTGTCAGAGACCAAAACTAGATCCATGTCTGCCCCAAACTGAAGTTGAAATGCATCAAAGATCTAAATACTTAACCTAGGTTACTTTTAACACCTTAACATTGGCTGAATTACATAGAACAGACGAGCTTATTAACCTTACCTAAACCTAGATGTGGGGTAGACAGTTTAAACAAAGACCAAGGTGCATGGGAATTGCTTAACAACTGGGATCTCATTTACAAAGTGCACACTGAAAGAAATCAAAATGAAAAGACCCGCAAAGTGGGAAAAGTTTCAGACAGTTGTCCCTCAGACAAAAGACTGACATCTAGAACACAACTGAAAACAAATCCTATCACCAAATTTAAAGTCCCAATCCAAAAATGAGTGTCTGAGGGGCTGGGGATTTAGCTCAGCGGCATAAGCGCCTGCCTTGCAAGCAGGCAGTCGTGAGTTCGATCCCTGGTACCGATAAAAATTTTTTAAAAAATGGGTGTCTGAAATGAATACATTTCTCAGATGAAGAAAGACAAATGGCAAATACATGAAAAAATAACATCAGTGGTCATCCAAGATACAAATTAACATGGTCCATCTCAGAATAGCCATCATCAGGAAAACCAATAAATGCTGGCGGGGCTACAGGGGAAAAAGGAACCCTTGTTCACTGTTGGTAGGAGGTAGATCAATGCAATCACTCGAAATCAGTGTGGAGTTTCTTCAAAACACTAGGATTAGAGCACCCATTCGACCCAGCTTTTCTGCTTCCGAGTATTTCCCCAAAATTAACATACCACGGATATATGTGCACTCGTGTTTATAGCAGCACAACTTGTAATAGCTAAATTTTGAAGAAAACCCAAAATGGCCAACGTGTGCATGGTTCATAAAAAATTAAATTCATGAGGAATTACAGAGGACTACAAAGTTGAGCAATCTGTAAAAAGCAAAACTAAAGATTTTAAAATTCCCAATTTCAAAACTTACTACAAAGCTACAATAATCAAAACTGATACTAGCATAAAAATAAACTTGTAGACCCTTATAATAGAATGGAGAAATAAACCATATGTTTATGGACAATGCAATTTTTTAAAAGATAATGCCTAATTTTCTCTAAAATTGATTAAGGATTTTAAGCCACAGGCAGAGAAAACCCACTGAAGTCCAAACAGGAGACAGAGAAAAAAAAAATCAGACCTGTCTGGAAGTAATTGCAGATATGGAAGAAGAAATACTAATTTTAAAGCTAGTTGAAAATAAAAACAAGTAGATTGAGGCTGGAGAGCTAGCTCAGCGGCATTAAGCACCTGCCTTGCAAGCAGGCGGTCGTGAGTTCGATCCCCGGTAACGATAAAAATGAAAAAGACACCAAAAAAAAACAAACAAAAATCAAAAACAAAAACCAAAACCAAGTAGATTACCTGCAAACAAATGACAGAGACTGATTCAAGAGCATCAATGAAAGATCTCTTGGCAGCAACCATGGGAACACAGCATAGGGGAATGTTGTCTGTCAGGCACCAAATTCTACAGCAAAGGCAACACACCTTTCCGGAATGAGGGTGACAGACAAGGACATGTGGTCTCTCTGCTCACTGTAGTATGCACAGTGCCCGGTACTATTTATGCAGCTTTCAAAAGAGGCCAAATTAAACTACTGTTTTGGAAATCAGAATGGCAGTTCCCTGGGGCAGGGAGGGAAGTCTCTGGATGAAACATCTTGTGCTCTGAGAGCTAATGACTGCACACCAGTACAGAATCTCCAGGACTCACTGAACTGTGCATGGAGGGTCTCCAAATGTCACCTCTTTTAAAAAAATAAACAAGGCAAAGTGAACTGCAGAAGATTAAATTTGGGCTGGAGACAGCACAGAGGTAGAGCGTGTACTTTAGCATGCATGAGGCCCAGGGTTCCATCCCTGCCACCCCCAAATAATCACTAAACAATGCTAGAAGGATCTGGCTGAATCATCCTTTTTATTCACCATACTTTTGATCCAGATGAGCCGAGGAAGTTTTTTTTTTTATTTTAGCATACCAATTTATTAGATTAACTTTGTTTACTTTAAAAAATAGCTGCTTTTTTCTATAAGTTTTTATTAAAATATGTAAGAAACGTCTTTAGTAAAAAAAAAAAAAAAAAAAAAAAAAAGGGTCTTTAGTGTAATTAAAAGTGCCCACATAGGGGCTGGGGATTTAACTCAGCAGCATAAGTGCCTGCCTTGCAAGTGCGTGGCTGTGAGTTCAATCCCCAGTATCGGTTTTAAAAAAAAAGTGCCCACGTATAATATGTATCCCACTACAATCCTAGTTCTTTACAATATATTTTCAGAAAAAATAACAATATTCAGACTAAATGCAAGAAAGATTTTAAACACTTGTATTTCCTTCAATCCTTCATGTTCTGCATTTCAAAGGCAGTTTTACAAGCTTAGTTTCTCTTTATCTATTCCAGGAGATTTGTGTTGAAATTTTTTTTTCACCATTAAAAACTGTGATTCTCTGTGGGACCTTTTCAGCCTTGCTCGACGATTTTGGAACCAAATCTGAATTATGTCTTCCTCTAGATTCAATTTTTGAGCTAAGTCTTCTCGGATATCAATGCCAGGATAGCAGTTCACTCTAAAGACATTTTCCAGTACCTCAATCTGGTTCTGAGTAAAAGCAGTTCTTGGTCTTCGTCCTCTATACCAACCCATCTCTCTTTTAAAAGACAGTCTTTCTGAGGTTGAAAGGTAATGTTAGTGTTTTTTTTCCAAATTCTTGATCTTAAAGGTAATGTTAGTGTTTTAAAATCTTTTCTTCTGTCGCTGGGTGATCTGCCATGCAGGGTACTGAGATCCCATTGGGAAGACTTGGGACAGGTAGATATATGTTACCATATTTCCCTGAGGAGCTGCAGGTATCTGCCCAGGACCCGTGAAATCTCAGGGATGGAACACAGTCTTTCTCCAGTCCTAGGATGCTCTCTGGTCCTAGGATGCTCTCAATTGAGAAGGAGCAGCAGGGTGGTTTGCCCTCCCTAGGCTGGATGCCTTGCTGAAGGCAGGCAGACACCCTTCCCTGGGAGCTTGGGCAGGGCTCTGGCCTTCCCGCCACCTCTGCCTGCTTGCGCCAAGCTGAGAAAGTTTTAAACATCAACAACACATATGCACCCCAAGAGGAGTTATTTTTAAATAGATATTCTTTCTGTGTATCTATGTTGTCCCCAAAAACAAGCCCCATGATGTTGTCTGTTGTCAAGAAGGGGGCAAGATGTCTTTTAAAAAGAAGCACTTTTATTTAAGCTGGTACCAGCGACACAGTACTGATGAAATTTACAAAGCTGTGCGACCGAGTCAGAATTTTGACTGATTTTTAGTTCATTTATGATTATCTCATTGATCTTTAAGTACATAGTGATGAAAAACAGAAACAAGGTGGGCCTTTGTTTCCCTTTGCTTGAGGTCAGAGGCATTTCACAGCGGGTGGTTAGCCAATTCACAGCCCTTGGTCTGCCAGTTCCAGGAACATTTGTCTCTCATAAAGGGAACAATGGTTGACACAGCAAAACAGGTTACTTGGGGAATGACACATACAAAACAGGATGACAAGGTGGTCAGTTAATCTATAACTATGTGGTTGGTGCTTTGTAGTTACCA